AGCAGGGGTGCTATTTGGGAACGTTCCGCTGCACAGCCGTCAACTACACGGCGACCTTAAATAACTTGGCCGGCTCTCACGAGACACGGCCACCTGCTGACAAACAGCCACAGTGCAGGACCCTGGTTTCCAATTTACCACCAAAGCATAATGATGTTCACACACTCGCACACCACTGTGAAGTTACGCACTACTGGCAGAGGCAGGGGGATCAGAGCCACTCCCTCCAGCTTAAGGCTTCGGCGCCGACCTTAAACGGTCGCTGGGGCAAGGACTGTGTGACAATCACCAAGCCAGGCCTGGGCAAACAACGACTCTCGGTTATTGCTTTTGTGATACAACTGCGGTGATAAAAACTGCCTGGTTTGAAAAATCTGCAGGTAAAATGCTTTTGCAGTCAAACTGTACAGGTACAATCTGCAAGGCACTGCCATGGCAGATGCAGACTTTGGAACAGTGGTTTGTTACAAGAATTGCTGCTCAGACTGGTTGCGTGCAAAGGATTTCTCGCCACTTGTGATGCAGGATGTGCCGATTGTCTTTACAGACGTTACATTTGTAGAAAACCGATGTATTATGTAATCCAATACCAGTAGTTGAACAAACCGGACTGCTGATGAAGCCAAGACGGTTGGTACCGTTTGCTTGCTTAAACAAATCCTATTGGATATGGGTCTGGAAAACCAAGAGGCCGACACTGAAAACCAATGTTAATTCATGTGGTGGCACAGAACAAGTCCTGCTTATTACGTTTAAATTATTTTATGCATTAACTTGGAAATACCGTACGAAACAATGCAATGTTATCACTTTCCCTTGCAGGGAATTTTTTTACAAAAAATTAACATGCATCATCATTTGTAACATACTGCACCAATGGCGAGACTTGCAGATAGCTTACCTTGTTATGGATAAAAGGGAAAGTCCCTTGGCATTCTTAAATAAATTGAGCATACTTGTGTGGGGTATCCAGTGTTAGTGCAGTGGTTTGCACACTGCGAACCCAGTTCGATGACCAACACCAGTAATGCTTATTTTAAATCGGTCATGGGCCTCCAAGGTCGACTCGGCCTCAAATTAGTACCTGGTGGGGTATACAAGCATCAACATTCAGGAAACAAAGGCGGCCAGGCATGGTGCTGGCGACCCACCCCCTCGTGTTCCGTACCAACATTCATAGTACTGTTAGTAAGCGCGTTGCTGAGGCTATACGGGGGATCTTTGGGTCAACTACTAGAGACCTGCCATCAAGGGAGGCATGGCAACCTACAACCTTGAGTTAAGGCAATTCACGTTCAGGTTAAAACTGAACTCCAACTGTTTATTAAAATCTATACTGCCAAAGATTACACTATATTCGAGGGCTCATCAGATTCCTGACCGGTATGGTGACGCAAACATGGTCTGGACAAGATTGAGCACTGTAAATCAATAATATATCCTGTGCACACTGCAACTCCTTCAGCGCCACGATCAAACACACCTGTGTCCACTTGAACTCAATGTGCTTTGTCATGCAGCAACGGTGCAGAAATTCAGAAGCCGATAAAGAGAATACTGCCTGCAGATTATAATTATTAACGATTTGGGTAATCAATTCAAAGCAGTTTGGAATGGCAATTACCATTCCGCAAGTCTGTCGGGATGTTTTTTTTTTAGTGCGACATTTAAAGCTCCAGAGTGAACTGTGGCAGTTGAAATGCACCCTACACAGTTCGGGGCACCCATTTAGTACGTACGCATGGAGGGGGGGTTAACCAAAACGCGTACGCTTGCGTATGGGGGGGGGGGGGGTTCTACTGACAATGTTCAGACGCATAGGAAACGGGGGGGGGGGGGGTGAAGACTCGATAATAATTTGTCTACATTGGTCTTCAAATGAGTTACATAGTACGGCGGTGGACTATCTGAAACACGTTAATATTAGTAATCTTTGATCGTTTATGCGTGGATTAAATATCGGCCGCTCTATAAGATTCCGGGGGGGGGGGGGGTGCGTCAGGCGTAAGTACGCAGGTGGGGGGGGGGGTAAAAAGTCCGCGTGCGTACAGCGAGGGGTCAACTTGACAGATTTTTGTGGACACTCAATGTATGGCCCCTTAAATTGAAAGACCGAGTTAAAGTCCCAGCGACGGGTAACACCGATGAGGAGTGATAGATATCTTGGTTCCGGCTCATTCCCTTCAACAACCTACGCTCACCGGTGTGACGGCGTCTGCTCAAATACCACTCAACCCCAACGGCGAGGGGGGAGGCTTCCATCCAGCAGTAGATTGGCAAAGTTGTACATACAATTTTGATCTAAAGCTTTCGTGACTACAGTGATTCATATTCTTGGTTCTTTCGGTAAAGTCACGTGGAAGGGAAACAATTAAATATATATAAAACAATTTGTACATACAAGTTCAGTGAGCGCGGAAATCGAAACTTGTAGGCGCTAGACTGAAGGTTTAATTGCACTGTTTACATTCACTTGTGTCCCACTTTCCGAGACTGCTCCACATATGGTCTGCGTCTCTCCGGCCCACTTCAAATCTGCAGTCAGTCTGTACAGTTGACAGAAAACTATTGCACTTGTCCAATAGGAGCGCTTGTCAATGGCAAGACAATCGGACAGATGCATAGGAACTCGCCATGCACACGACCGAAACTCAAGATGAAGGGAAAACGTAAAATGCGTTTATCCCAGCAACTAATAAACTCAAGGCACCATTTGGGAGAGAATACGGAGTAGACGAGGGAGCACACTGGTTGTTATGACTTTACTTACAGTAATAATATAAACTACATAAAGAGTGGCACACAAGACAGCAAGTGCTGTTAAAATTTATTGAAATAAATAATTAACTCAGCAGCTACTGAGTAGCACTTACTGCTATTCTGCCGGCCTTTCATTTTTCAAACGCCTCAAAACGTACCGTGTTCAACGCGTGTTGTGTTACTGTGCAAGCCACGTTCCCAAAAAAGGAATACTTTGAGGTGAATGTGCGGAGTGAAAAAATAATAATTGCACCGAGCATTCAATGCATCTGCAGGAGACACTTTTAAACAATGGGGGCATATGAATTCACAATGCACGAGACGCTGCCCAACTTCTCCATCTTGGAAAAAAAAATCACTCCCACTCCTCCACGCACGAAGTTAGGGAGGAGTCCACTCCACATGGCTCAAACACGACGTCTCTCTAAGGAGGCGACGGCAGCTTGGGAAAACATTCATCAAGCAGTGGAACGACTGAAGAGGTCTTTAGGGCGGTATTCCTATACGAGCTACATATGAAGAAAGCCCACTTCTTACGTTGTTGTAGAGTACGAACCTCAAATTGGCCAATTAACTGCCCACAGACGGCGCAGTATTTTGCACATGGTATAACAAACGCATCGTCTACAGATGCTTACAAATGAGACCTTTTCACAAACAGTAAAATGCATTCTTAATATAACTACATTATCTTAATTAAATTATTTGTCCACATTCAAAACTGTGTACAGTACTTATTTATGTCCAGTAACGCACGTGTGCAACTTGTCATTTTCTAAAGAGGTTCGCATATCTGCTGCCTACACCTCCCAAGTTAAGTAATCCTGTTACCGCCGAAACACTACCGGCAAGTGCTTGGGAGCTTGCGGGTACCAACGTAGTCACGGTGCTTCGGTGTGAAGTCCCAAACGCGTTTAATTATTAAGAAAACCCGTTGCTCTCAGTACACACGGAAGCAACGCGGTCTCCAAGGCAGGAACTGCACCTTGGCACTAGGGAGTGCTGACACTAGAGGCGACAAAACATGATCCAAGGACTACAGCTAGACGATAAGGCCTTCTTCACAAGTGCTCGCATTCCATTAAAGTCAGGCAGCTCATTGGCCTGTGCACATTGAGGTCCTCCCTATGCCATGAGATTATTCGACCTAGAGCCCGATTGTGGCAATGCAACTTAAAACTATGAACCAAGAAGTAAACCACTGTAGCCTGCGCTCCGTCAGAGGAATAGCAAAACTACACTAACTCTTCCGACTCACTCTCGTCGTGGCAAGCAGCAGACCTCCACATTGGCGGGTTGGTGGAGGCGGCAGACGTGAGTATAGTACGGCAGAGCAATCAATTTGCTGCACTGCTCTCTGATGACAGAGTTTATAAAAAGCTTCGTGGGCTCACGGCACGAGACTGCAAACCGCCCGCGTGGGCCGACTTGAGGGTTTGTCTTGTGAACACAGCAGGGGGTAACGATACGCAAGAGGATTGTCATGGCCCATATGCTAAATTTGACGATTACTCACCTATTTTAGTCTTCATGTACCCATGAAACCATAGGCCATTTGGCAAAGTCGAATTCAAACCATTAATCAATATCAACGGCCTATCATCACTTGTACCGATTCTACTGGTACTACTCACGAGAGGACTTGTATTAAACTCCTCAGTTACCACTTTCCCGGACCACCACTCACGTCCACCATTTCAATCAGCACCGCCTTCCGTCACCACATCCGTGATCATCACCAGCACCACATCCACCACTAATTCTCCCACTTTCCACCACCAGGGTCCGACTCAACAGCATAACTAACAGCAACCATTCTGACCACCACCAACTTCCTCTACCATAACCATTATTACCTCAACCACTACACTCCCCAGAACGAGCTCCATAAACTTTCTGCACCACTTAAAAACAACATCACAACTTTGTGCCGCTGTTATTGCTCTTCCAAGTGCGAGGCAGGCGGGCCCGCGCTACGAGGGGCGGCAGCGCCGATCGCAGAGCGGCTGCCGCGTCCCACGAGACGCTCGTGGGGGTGTTCGGGGCAAGTGAGCGAGTGAGGAGAGACACCGCCACTGCGGCGACCGAGACACCGCCACTGCGGGGACCAAGGCCCCCCGCCCCCTGCCCACGAGCGAGACACGAGAAGAGAGCACAAACGCGAAGAAAGGAGGCTAAGACGCGCCTTTCCCGCCATGAGCGTCAACCCCTTCCCGTCCCGCCTCCGCATGTCTCCGCACCTCGGACGAGTTGAAGGGCGGCACACGCAGCTAGCTGTGTGCCTCTTTCCCGTCGGTCCTGTGCTTGCTCGCCTGGGCCGGGTTCTGTGTTGGGTTCGGCTGGACTGGGCTGGATCGGGTTGCACAGCCGCTCCCTGCTCACCGCCTCCTCCTTATGGGCGACACGAGGCGTGGGCACGCCGTGGGCGTGGTCAGAGGGGCGTGGTCAAAGGGCGTGGCCTCAAGGGGAGGTTCTGAAGTCTCCGATTGGACCGCACAGTGTCTAAACGTCATCGCGCTGTAACGTGACGCGAATACGTAGCGAGCGTCGTCACGTCTCAACGCTGGCGCGCGCCAATTCCATAGGCGGGGGTCTCGTGACGTCAACGCGTCGTTGTTCACCCGACGCGACGTCAACATCCGTTCTTCATGCACGACGACATGGGCTCACGTCATCACGTGGTCCTGCGCCTCGATCTGACGTCAGGACGTTCGCAATGACATCCACAACCAATAGCCACCATTCGCCACTAAGTGACGGTGACGTCTCCACGGTGCCTGTGCCAGGCCAGGTGCACTCTGAGGCTATCAAGAGGTCTCGGGACAGACTCTGCAGGTGCCATGGGTTGGCCGACTGAGATGACCGCTGGATGCACCACCAGATTGTGCCCCCTGACTGTGCCAACTTGCCGGAGCTTCGCCTTACACTTGCACAAAGACGTCTGTGAATGACGTCATCGCGCGTGGTCGCTCGTGGGTAACGCGTCATGTCACCGCGGCGCGTCACCACCGCGCTCGTGACCGTTGGGAGTTTGTGAAGGGAATACGCAAGGGGGGAGGGCGTGGTCCGGGCGGCGCGAGTCTCCCGCGTTAAAGTGATCGCCCTAAGCGTTTAAAGCTTTAAATTGCCCAACCGATTGTTGGGAAGATCAAACAGACGTCTCTAGTTACACAATGATACTCAAACGTGTCGTGAGTCCCCTCAGATAAAGGCGTAAAACGTGACAATTATTGGATTTTTACAATGCGTAATTCTGTTCCCACAAAATGGTCGTAGGTAATTACCATTGATGAAACTGAACATTCCTATTAACTTCAAGAAAGGAAGAAACTCGATTATGAATAGGTGGCACTCGCTCGTAAATGAGTTACAGTATTTTAAGCAAATTCACTTGACCTTGATTAGATTTAACTTTAACAATGCCAATTACAACCAATTGATGTGCCCATTAATGCTCATTCAGTGGCCACGTGCACTCATTGCTGCAGACAACAATGTTTACATTCAGTCGTACACACCGAGTGTTGCACAGAATATGCTGCTTCACAATCGATTACAACTGTAATCGTGCTGCTTGTTGCTAGCCACTTGTATTGGGCCTCTGTTCGGCAACCGTGATAAAAAAAAACAAAGCCCTTAATTGCAGGTGTCTGCCACCCGGAGGCCCAGGTGTAAAAACACAAGACACGTTTATTAACACCGTCTGTGCCATAGCAGGTGTTGGTGCTTTATATGTACAGTATTTGTGAAATTACTCAAGTCCTCGGAACAGGCCACAAGATGTGCCCCTAGCGATTCACACGGATCTGCCAAATTGTTAAATAGTTGGTACCGAAATTAAAAGATTTCTCCACCATGAGGTAATGCCAAGGGCTTTCAAAATTCCTAAAACACCCGCAGTCCTACACGTAATTCATGCAGTTTCGATGTGGACATCACCGTGTTACCAACGATCTTGGGCCATTCCTGTTGTGGGTAAATATATAATAGTGGATACAGCACAGCAGCTAAGCAGGTTTTTGTAAGGACATTAAGTCTAAGCAAACTCTATTAAAATATTAGATTTTTTTGTGTAAATTATAGTTTTGTTTATCTACAACCATACTTACTTCACCTAAAACTCAACACGTTTTCATTTAAAAAATGTATGGACACTGCGCCTTGACAATTATTAAGAGTCCATTGGTGATGCATCATATTTTGTCTTCCACATAACACATTCACATCTAAGCCTCATATATAACATTACCTTGTAAAAAAAAAGCTTACGGAAGTCCTTTTGTGTGGATGCAAGTGTGAAATTACAGAACGCGACACACACAAAGACAAGCTAGCACTATATACTAATTCACAGAAAACCCTACACTGCTAAAGCTTAGGAGGTAACTTCATTAAGTTTTTTTTTAAAGAAGCTGTTGAACACCAAACGATGTATTTAAGAACCACCATTCAAGAAAATTTCAGGAATTAAAACTGTGGTCAGTGTGATATAATACGTCGTGTCAGCAGCTTCTGAATATTAAGTAGCACGTTGGAAAAATAGCATTATATAGGCAGCATTTGCACAAGTATCTCAATACCTCCACAGACCCAAATTCCACGAGAAACCAGCACCCCTGCAGAAAATCACGTGTCACACAATTAGGGCGTTCTCAGGATTTATTGCTTCAGTGATCAAGTAGTGTCCACCTGTTGCATCTCAGCTGGCCCCAACACCCCTCCGTGTGTCTCAAGGTCTCATTCTCCTGATTTCCCATTTATAGCACCCCGCCCACCACCACTACCCCCCCACAAGCATTCCACGTGTTGTAGGAGGGACGTTGGTAGGAGTACTCGAGTGTTATGAACACTGGGACTATCATGGCTCTTACCGACAGCGATTTGATGAATTGCCGCTATTCAGCTCAAGGTTCGATTCAAGGATCACACGTTTTGTCACAATGCGGTGAACGCAGATGAATCCTGAACCGATTACATATCACATATAAAAACAAAACATTGATTCTTACCAGACTTTACGCATTTATTGGGAGCTTAAGAATCAATATTAGTCAATTTTACACATCATCATCCCCATCATCTGCATTGATCTTTCCTCTCCTAGATGAAGGCCTCCCCATGCCATCTCCATCTCTCAGTATTGCAATTCAACAATCCATCTAGTTACGGCAAACAAACTGATTTTATTACTTCATCTCTGGTAGACACTAAAAACGGTTTAGACAAACATCTTGCAACAAAGTGCAAGACAGTAAGCTATATATTGACTTTTTATGAAAAAATTAGAATAGATTTTACCCTTTCTGGAAATAAAACAGGTGTTAAGATGTTCAGACATCAAATATAAACCTTTTGCAAGGAATAAAGTCTGCATTAACCACACGTACTTGTGGTGAGCATGCAAACAAACACGCTCTCATAATATACGCATTGTCTTTGAAACTTATTGGCCTACACCAGAGGCAGTCTTCTTTAGGGCCTAGTCTCACCACCCGTGTCAGACCAGAAAACGCAAAAGGTGAACAGTACAAGGACAATGCACTATCAGAGTATTTATAGCTCAGGATGAGCAGCTATTATTTTTTTTTCAAACTTTGATACTGGCAAAAAGGTCCTAGATTGCCTTTTTATTTGTGAATAAACAATGGCGAATCCACCAGTCAACAAAACTCGCGATATCCAGGGGTAACAGATTACATAGTGTGCACTTTGAACACCTTTGCAGTTCGCACACTTCCAGAATAACTAACGCATGGCCCACAGGAGTAGAAGACACCGGTGACTTTCACTTGCAAAATGGTAAATGGAAATCCGCATTGCAGATGGGGCATCTATGTTCCCAAATGCTCTTATAATACAGTACTAATTCAAAGTGAGGCTGTTAAAGATGGCTCAGAGACTCGGTACATTTTTTCAAAATGTATTTAAAAATCCAGTACATCACTGTAATTGTTATCTTTATTTCACGACACTCGTTAACACACAGCATTGTTTTATAATGCACAAAACATGTCTACGACAAAATGTTCATAATACTCATCAGCACGTCATGACTACACAGGTTTCGTAGGGGGTTGACATTTTAAACATTTTCATTGACACAATAGGTTGAGCTGTTCCAGCCTTTCTGTTAACACCAGCAGAGTAATTCTGAAAAACAAAACACAATACATTGTTTTTGTTTACTGAAGCCACTCTCAAGGTTTTCATATGAGTCAATGAGTGGGGAAGGAGAATGTGTGTTTAATTATGTTGAATGGGAAGCGTGTTCAATGGGAGGCGGGTGTCACTCGACTTGCACTGAGCAAGTGGCCCTCGGGGAGTGGAGGCAGGAAAGGCGGACTTCAGTCCAGAAAACGGACATACAATACGCGTGCAGTGTAAGTCAATAGGTTTGTGCATTTAGTCAAGATCGTTTTGACCGCAGAGGACTGCATGAGCCTTGGAAATTGTTCAATCGATCATAGATAATGATAGATGGTAATGTTTGATTGATATTGTTCGTTTTTGTACCGACGATTATAAATACTCTATTTAGGTTGCTGCTTTAGTGAACATATGCGATAAAACGGTTAAAGTACAATTGTTAAAATAGTGGTTTGTTTATATTACTACAAGAAAACGATAAAGTGTATGGAGTTCTCTTGAACTCATTTGTGCACAAATTAACAAAATGCCACAGTCTCACACCTCTGATTAGCACGCTTGGCTACGTACGGTGTGAAAGGAGTTCAATATTCATACAAGTGAAGTGCTAATCGATGAAGTGTACGTGTCAATGTCTGTTCCCTTTAGAAGGCCATTCTCATAAGCCGGGCACCAGTGTTGGTGCCAATTCTATTACTGGTACCAGGCCGCACCTTCGATTAGCACAGTTAGTTATGTATGGTGCGAAAAAAACTTCAACATGCATACATACATATATACACACCAAACAGGCAAGTACGGGAAGAAAGAGGGAGCGAGCCGAGTGTATCGTGACTCTCTCCTACGCTTCTACTCCCTGCTGGTGCCATGCCAGCCATGTGGAATGTCACATTTGTTGCAGATTTGTGAAAAGCAAAGGATGGAAAATGTACCTTGAGTCTCAGCCAGCCAAGATGTGTTTGATGAAAGCTGGAAGTCATAAAACAATGAGACAATACATTTCAAGTAAATATCCTCCAATGAATATTATACACATAGGAATGAGCCAGGAGCCCTCATTATAAAAAAAATCGAAGTGGGTTATTCATTCAGATGAGCACTGAGGTGATTTCCAACTCCAATGTATAGCCCTGAATCAGTGGTGGAAATTCCACATTGCTATGACAGCGGACCAAATTTGTTTCCCCATGAGGGGGTACTAATTGTATCGACCCAAAATAATGATGAGCTGACCTGGGGTTTGAATGAAACCTGCAAATTGCTCCACCCACTGTACAATGAAGATGGTCCTGATTGGTTACTTGAACACACATGTTCATCGCCATCGATGATTATCCCACTCATTGGCATCATTCGTGAGAAAATGAAGCCACAGACGCCTTGCGTAACCACTCTATCGAAATTACATGTGGCACACCCAGCTAAACATTTCGAAGGGGGCTTATTGTTTTTTTTCTATAAAGAGTATAAATTGATTGCATATACAGTATTGTGAAAAGAGTTTTCCTTATATGTAATGTCGAAAATTAAATGAGCAGTACATCAATAATAATTATTTATTGCCAATTTTACATTTAGTAAAAATGTCAAAAATTATCCATGACATACAGTGACCCCTCCAGCACTCCTGGGTGAACCCCTGGTCCCAGTAGAGTGGCGTTGGCCGAGTCTAACGCCACGCAGTGGTGGAAATTCTACATTGCTATGATACCTTCATAGTTGATGCAGCCACTCGAGTCCTCTTGTCCGGTCATCAGCTGCTCCACCTCATCCTCCGTGAGCCGCTCGCCTGCACATAAACACGAAGACAAAGATCGCCCAAATAGGCTGTAAACATACTGTTGGAGCAAGTTCCGTTTGAGAGCTACTATATGAAGGCCGGCACGGCACATGAGGGAATGGGTGGCCAACACCACACCCAGCCATCTTTGTCTCCGCAGTGCTGATATTTACACACTGGGCCGAGTACTTGTTAAAAAGGCTGACTAGACCTAGGGGAGGCCCAGGATCGGTCAAGATATTCGTTACCGGTGTTGGCCATGAGTGTGAATCGAGTTCGGGTCACCAGTTTCGTAGCGCAGTGCGCAAGTCACTGCACCGCTGCTCGCAACACTACACACTCGTGCGCACGCAGATATACGCGTGCACGCACACAGTTTCAGATTCACCCATAGCCAAGTTGTTAATGAACGTTGCACACTTTACTAGTCAGCTACTCTCGATTATCTGTGGAAACGAGAGGGGGGGGGCTGGGATTTGAGGTAGTGTGACCCGGGAAAAACAACAACACAAATAATTAGGCTATAAAAACACGAGGGTGAAGGCATACAATGTGTCGTCTCTTTTTCTTGTCTCTTAAGGTAATCGGATTATTTGCCGACGTGTTCGCGGCCATGTGGCCACGGAGTCGCTACGCTCCGAGGTTCGATCGCGAACGTGACCAAGTTACTGCTTTGGAATTTGACCGCAGGAGAGGCGGTGGCCGGGTGGCTCAGAGGTCACAGAGCTGCGCTGGAGCACCCGGCAACCTGGGTTCTGAAGAGGAGTGAACCCATGGTTTCCGCCCGGTCACTAAAATAACTGCACACAAAAACATCATCACATCAAATGTTTGGTTCTGCTCTTGATTAGGCTAAATTTAATCTCTTGAGATTTAGTGGCATGGCGGGTGGGCAAGTGCTGCCCCCTACTGTATGAACGAGATGTAATTTGTAGGGGTATCGAGGATATCCACTTCCACAGGTCATCCCCTCTGTGTTCTTCATCCCATGACATGACACCAATTGAGCAATCGGTATGAAATTGGCGACAAAACTGAAAATTTAACGTAAAAAGAAGAATATTCGTGACCACGGGAGGTCACCCGTACGCTCAGTTTGAGCCGCGTGAACTGGGCCGCTACTCTCCGAGGAGGCCGTGAGGGCCCCGCGTGAGGGTTCACCGAGCGTGGCGAGCACGTGGCGCAGCTCAGCCCCCATCACCCTGCCGTTGCCCTCCTTGTCGAACACCCTCAGGCCCTCCACGAAGTCCTCGTACGAGCCCTGGTCCTTGATCTTGCAGATGGCCTGCATCATGGGCAGGAACGTGTCAAAGTCCATCGTCTTCACCAGCATCTCTGCGGAGGACAGGGGCGAGATGAGCGATATCAGTCAAAAAAAGAGGCCCACTGCTGTTCGTATATATATTCCATACGTGGCATTTCCCACCGCGAAATACCCTCGTGTTTTTACCCCACCTACAACCAAAGTGAAAGCCCACGTGAGTCGGTAGCGAACCTTCAGGCTTGGGGTTGCCCAGCACCTTCATCACGTCGCAGTTGGTGGGGTTCTGCCCCAGGGCGCGCATGATATCCCCGCACTGGGAGTAGGTGATCTTCATCTCTCCCGTGCGGTCGAAGAGCGAGAATGCCTCGCGGTACTCTGTGTGCACACGCACACATACACAAAGATCCCCCGTGTAGCCTTAACAGACTGTTGGGGCAAGTGCTGTTAGCGAGTAGCACCTATGAAGGCTGGCACGACACACGAGGGTGAGTGGCCAATACCACGCCTGGCCGCCTTTGTCTCTCCCTAGTGACGATGTTCGCACACCGCACCAGGTATTAATTTGAGGCTGAGTCGATCTAGGGGAGGCTCAGGACCGGATCAGATTATCGTCACTGGTGTTGGCCGTGAGCGGGAGATCGTGGCGCAGTCACCAATGATGCCGATGACTGGCGAGCCAACACATCCCAAAGCAAGACCATAACACGAGGACGTTGGATGAAGATGCAGACGAAGATAATTTAGTGACGTTATGGGGAAGGGACTGCGGTCCACTGAGGTAATTGGGTATTATTATATTACTATGTAATTGGGTATGTTTACGTATGGTATATGTATATATAAAAAACATTTACTGATGTCACCGTTAGGCTGACCTGATAACATTTAGCCAATAGCGGTTGACTAAATGTGCGGCTGATTTAGTCGACGAGGCTTACAGAACGGTGACATTAAATCCACTGACTTGAACACCATTCCTCAGGTTGTCGTCGACTCTGGACTAAAATAAATACATACAATGTCCACTAAATTAACACAGCCACAAGCACTCAGGATTACAGACTACAGGCACACGTTTTCTGTTGGTGAGCACCTATTAAGCACACGAGGTGGTGCAGCTCATCTCCCCCTGGCCGCTGGTTGTCTCCGCAGAGATGATGATGATGATGAACGCGAGCAGCATTCGGTTCAACGCTGGCTTAAAGCCGAGTCCTGGCCCGCACTATCGCACTCACCATCGTCTTAGCCCTTGGCATAGTCTAAGTCCTAACCGCAGCGTTAAATCTAGCCTAAGCCCAAACTATGGCTCATACCATAGCATTGGCTTAACCCTAGGTAAAGCATAATCGTGGGTCTCGTCATGACTTGAGCACTCACCGGAACTGGAATAAGAGTTACCTTGGCCCCCTACCCAAAGTCGTCGCTCGCGCCGTGCTGGATTCTCGTGCTAAGACGACAGAGAGCTCGCTCCCCGTGGGCTCTCCCCCCACTCCTCCTCTATGATCGCAGCGCCGCCTAGCGGCAGCGGGGATGGCGAGCAGGATAAACTAAACTCTCAACAAACTTTTTATTTTACCAGCTAAGGCACACTGCGCTATGTTAGCTCTTCTTCAGATGCGCCGTGTCCACAAATGAGATCCCAACGAAGTTGCTTATCTTGTGGAAATGTCTAGCAGCCAAATAGTCCAAACGCATTTTTCTAAATGTGCAAACTGCTGTACTTGGCCAATCCACTGCTGGATGAGGGCCCTCCCCACGGCGTGCGGTTCGTTGAGGGTAGTTGACTTTATTCTACCACGCCGGTCCGTGTGGGTTTGTGAAGGTAACAATAACGTGTTTTCCTGTACTACACTGGACTCCACTGCTCTCCACCATGCAGCTCCCCTCAGGTGCTCGCCCATCCAGGCACCAGCCCGGCTCAACGCTGCTTAGCTTTCTAGGTCTGACCATATCGGGCACATTCCAGGCGACTGTCAGAGGCAGTGATTACGCTCTTGCAATGGTCACGGAGTCTCAGAACCCAACAGCGAGTGGTCGGCTTCACGAGGGCGCAGACCGCAGAGCCAGGAGAGACCGCACTCACACGAGGGGATGACACTCGCAGTTCCGCACAGATAGATTACAATAATGGAATTCTGGCAATGGGGCGCGAATGGAAACTGACCTTCGATTTGATCCTGCGTGAATTCAATCTGGGAAAGAAAATAAAAGAAACACGTCAGGTTAGATCACGGAAAACGCCTTTCTTCAGCCGGAGCTATCCAGGGCTGTGCTGTGGAAACTATCACCTTTAACTTCAAGGGTGACGGCGGTCGCAATGCGACATTGCGACCAAAAAGAGATCTCTGACCCGACGTTTTTTTCTAACAGTTTAAAAACGATGTGGATTAAATAGTAAAATTAAGGAACACCATTGGCTATATTTTCACAGCCCTTAAGTCAATCCACTGCTGGATGAAGGCCATCTCACGCCGTGCCGGTCATGGGGATTACTTGCCCATATTTCACCACGCAGGTCTGTGCGGCTTTGTGAAGGATTGGATGTGCACACCTGTTTAGGGCAATATGAATGTTTTTATTCGTTCACATACAATTCGCACCTCCGATTAGCACAGTTTGGCTACCTACGGTGCGAAAGAAGTTCAACATACATACACACATTTTTTTTAAATCACTGAAAGACAGAAATAGGGGCACGTGGATTAGAGAACGCACCCAGGCTAATGACGAAATTCCAACGGTTACGATAAGTGAGTGGGGCTTGTGCAGGACACGCCATGGCCAGAAGGGACCACGGGCGATGGTCAAGAATAGTGGCGGAATTGCAGCCAAGGGATGAAACGCTTCCGCTGGACCGCCCGTCCTGGAGATGGAGCGGTGTGACCAACTCGTGTTACAGCTGCTGGGCTGGATTGTTGCATCGCACGGGAGAGATGGCGGCGGCTTGGGATCAGTCAATCCCGGTCGTGCGATGCAACAATCCAACCCAGCACATGTAACGCGAGTTGGATGGATCGTGGCTGATCGCGATGACGATTGATCTCACGAATTCAGAGGTCATCACAGCGTGACCAGCAGGGGGCCCTCGCGGACAGCAGCACGGGGACTCGTAGAGTCGGGCGAGTTTGGAACTCGATGGTTTTCCCAACGAGGGCAGCATCACTTAATCGATTAACATCGATCGCATGTGTAAGATCCGATGTTATTGTAAACTCGTACGTAGGTTATATGTACGTGGGGCTACGTGGTGGGAAACAATACATGCTCCCCGCATTCACGCACGGACCAGCGTGGTGAAGTATGGTCAATAAACCCCCAGGAACCGATTAGCACGGTTGGCTACGTGCGAAAAAAATGCAGCATACACCATGGGGGCCCTCACCCAGTCGTGGCCTGAGAAATGCTGTGTATGTACAGTATTTGTGTTGTGTGCAACGGGTTTACGTGATCCCACCAGCCACTGGCGGCCGCTACATTCATCGCAGTGTTTAAACGTAGCAATCAATGCAATAGAATCGCGAGCTTATAATCGACTATTGAACAATCGATTATATTTGTCTCGATTTTACGTCAAGTTTACACGGCTTCTCGGCCGTTCTGTCTCGTTTGTAACACAGTCGAGTTCGACCGAGCAGCAACATGACATCGGTGTCCAATTCGCATGTAATTTGCATAAACAACAAATAACCAATCCGCACGCATGAATCGCCAGATGCACCATGAGCGTGAACACAATGACATCTTGATCGGATAACGACTGCTCCACCTAGAATCCACGTGTGTCACCGGACCTGTCACCTGACCTTGATAATCCACTTTGTTGAGCTTTCATTTGTGGCCAGGTCGCGTCTCAAAAATAAGTTAATACCTCAGTGGGCTTTACCTTGTAAGATTAAAAAAAACCGTATTTTTATATTTTGAAGTGATGTGCTTACCTTTCCTATACTTTGCACTCCTATCGTGAGGTGTACTGTTTGTTGTAACATTCTGACCCGCCCCAACTGAATATCTATCGAAAATAGCTTTATAGCTCATTTAATTCCTCCAGTATAAATACATATTCTGATTCTGTGGGTACTCCCATCTCTTCCGAGACGTTTGGTCAGCATGGAAAAGCAGGCCAAATACCCTGTATAGAGGGGGCTTCTCCAGAGCTCCCACTGAGTGGAGGCGCTTCCGCCAGCATTGGCGCGAGCGGGCAATTGCAGGGCTGCGCCTCTATGGCGGTGACGCGGGCCAGCGGGAGCGCCTTCGCCGCTTGCTGCAGAGTTCCATTCCAGCGGCCGCCCTTGTTAATGATAATTATGGCGCAATAACCACGGTGATAGGCGCTCTGTCTTCTTCACAGTGGACGGTAATGATCACCTGACGTCATTCGTAAGAGTGGGCCACAATTGTGTGTCGGCGTCAGGGTCCTTATTTGTCAGATTATATAAAAATTACACCGCAAATTACAGTACAGCACTCAATTGGGATTCTCCACTCAGCAGCGGCAATCATCGCCCTCTACTGATAGACGAATGCCTCAGGTGACTCGTGTAAATTAAACTATCCTGGTCTCGAGAGTTTTCGCCAACAAAATAAACTAAACTAAATATTTTACGGACGGCTCGGTTGGTGGTGCGACCTTGCACTCCTCGAAATCATTAAATTACCCAAATCACTCTGCGCGGGCGGAGTGATGGCGCGTTGGTCAGCGCACTGCACCGTGAGCCGTGATCGCATGAGATCTCTATTCACCAGAGATTCCCAGCCACGGCTAACGTTAGTGGCTCGTAATGTCTGCACCGACCCTGGGCTACTCCCCTGCGCCAACCCGCACTGACCAGCGTGCTGAAGTGCGCTCATATCAACCCGCACAAACCACGCGGCGTGGGGAATTCCCTCACCCAGGAGTGGATTAACACTGGTGCTGTAATTATTTAAATGTTAGAACAATCGAAATGTGGCACTCCCTTCGGTTGAGAATATCATGCAAATTTCAATACATTTAAGCTGGCAACGTGAATACCTGTGAATACACAGTTCATATAACTGTAATATTTTCGCTAGCTTGCAGGCCATAACTGTTGTCTTGTTTTCCTCTGTAAACAGAATGTGATCACTTGGTCGTTAGCAGCGGTTTCTCAGTAGAGCCAATCAGTTACTGCAGCTGTCACTTAACACGTGCGCGCTAATCACCAACTTATTGCGCAACGATAGTGACTGTGGTGGCGACAAGCGTGTGACGTCTACAAATGTTCATCCACCATGATCACCACAGCCACCACCACCACAACTTCTACCGCCATCAACATTATTACCACCATCATAATATCTATAACGGCCATCACCACCACTGCTAGCACTATTAACGAAGATAAAGATGCCTCGTATAGCCATAGCAGACTTTTGGGGCAAGTGCTGTTAGCGAGCATCTATGAAGGCCGGCACGGTACACGAGGGGGTGGGTGGCCAGGATCACGCCAGGTCGCCTTTGTCTCCCCAGTAGCGATGTTTGCACACCGCACCAGGTACTAATTTTCGGCTGAATCGACCAAGGGGAGACCTAGGCCCAGTTCAGATAATCGTCACTGGTATTGGCAGTGAACGGGAATCAAAAACTCGGGTCGCCAGGTTCGCAGCGCAGTGCGCTAACCGCTACACTACCGCTCCCCACGATTAACGCCACTATCACCATAAACCACGATCACCACCGCTACCACTGTCACCAACCATGACTCCTGCCACCAGTGCGCGTACCACGATGGTCGAGGGATCGAACGCAGGTTTGGGCGGCTCCTCGGGCGGCGGAGGGGCAGCAGCAGCCGGCTTCGCCTCCTCCTTCTTCGGGGGCTCCGCCTTCTTAGCCGGCGCCTTCGGGGCCATAGTTGCGTGGAGGGTGAGAGGTGTCGCCTGGTCTATGGACGGGTCTATGGACGGCTGCGCTGCGCTTGTGTTGGGCAGCTATGGGAGATCTCGTCGCATTTATAGAGGCGCGCAGTGGTGAGTGGGTGGGTGAGTGGGTGGATGGGTGGGTGAGTGGGTGGGTGGTTGAGTAGGTGGGTGTGATGTGTGGCGGGTGGTGGTGATTGAAGGAATGGTGGTGAATGCAGGGGGGGGGGGGGCTGTAAGTAGGTATGTCACGTACCGTGCCCCCGTCACTTCACCCGAGGCCAGAGGTTTAAGGCTATAGATGGAGAGGGGCTGTGCCTCTGGCTGTTGCGCGCGGTTTCCGTGAGCTGCCACAAAGAGACAAAGATCCCTATTATAGCCCCAACAGACTTTTGGGGCAAGTGTTGTTAGCGAGCACATATGAAAACCCATACGGCACATAAGGGTGTGGGTGGCCAGCATCACGCCCGACCGCCTTTGTCTCCCTCGTGGCGTTGTTTAAACACCTCACCAGGTACTCATCTGAGGCTGAGTCGACCTAGGGGAGGTCGAGGGCTGCTTCTAATAATCGTCACTGGTGTTGGCCGTGAGCGGGAATCGAACTCGGGTCGTCGGGTTCGTAGTCACACACACTGCCACACACACCACACACACACACTGTCACACACAGACCACGCACGCCACATACACCATACACTGCTGCACACACTACACCACACACATCACACACTGCATACACCACACACAATACCACGCACAATACCACACACACTTTACACACCACAGTCGCACACACACTACATACACCACACACACTACCACACACACCACACACTACACACGCCACACACTACATACACCACACACACTACCACACCATCCACACACTACAGACGCCACACACACACTACATACACCGCACACACTACCACACACACACCACATTGCCACACACCACACACACACTACACACGCCACACACACTACCACACACACACCACACACACACTACACACGCCACACACACACTACATACACCACACACACTACCACACACCACACACGCCACACACACACTACATACACCACACACACTACCACACGCACACCACATTGCCAAACACCACAAACACACACTACACACGTCACACACACACTACATACACCACACACACTACCACACACACCACACACTACACACGCCACACACACACTACACACGCCACACACACTACCACACACACACCACACACACACTACACACGTCACACACACACTACATACACCACACACACTACCACACAACACACACACCACACACACTACATACACCACACACACTACCACACACACACCACATTGCCAAACACCACACACACACGCCACACACACACTACATACACCACACACACTACCACACACACCACACACTACACACGCCACACACACACTACACACGCCACACACACTACCACACACACACCACACACACACTACACACGTCACACACACACTACATACACCACACACACTACCACACACCACACACGCCACACACACTACATACACCACACACACTACCACACACACACCACATTGCCAAACACCACACACACACGCTACACACGCCACACACACACTACATACACCACACACACTACCACACACACCACACACTACACACGCCACACACACACTACATACACCACACACACTACCACACACACCACACACTACACACGCCACACACGCGACAGATATTCCCTCGGCGCGACTCCCTCTGCGGCTCTCAGGGAGGACGATTGCAGCTCCACGCCCCAAGCACAGCAGCCACAGAGATTTACCGTAGGCTCCGGAGTACAAGACGCTCCAGAAAGTAAGAAGCACGCAAAGCATGTGTCCAGAAAATTATGAAAATCTGGACAAAGACAAAAACATTCTAGTTTAAAATACGGGGTGGGGGTTCTTATAATCTGGAGAATAATGTAGCAGTCAGAGACAGCTCTCCTCTTCACCAACACGCTTCGTGTCTCGTGTGGTGGGTGGTGGATTAGCAGTGCTTCTATGTTCTTGTGGAGGCTGCTGAGTGATCCAGTGGATGGCTTCAAGAGTAGGGTCATGGTGATATCATGGGAATCCTTAGAATCGCATGGAGACCCATAGACTCACTCACATCGAGACCTATAGACTTGCATAGAGACCCATAAGTTTACATAGACCCACAAGGAGATTCATACACTTCCAAAAAGAACCATGGCCTCGCACAGAGGCCCTCAGGCTCAAACAGACACTGATGCTTTCGTGTTGTGGCGGAGTGGATCCGCAACCTGTAATTGTTCGTGTGGAGGTTGCTGAGTCAATACAATGGCGGTTCATGAAGCCACCTGGAGACCCATAGGTGGTGAATGATGGAAGCGGGTAGTGGACCATGGTCGTCTATGTTGGCTCGTGACCGCAGTGGCACCGTGGGCTATTCGTTATTGTTCATCAGTGTAGGGCATAGCAGCAGCATGGCGGCAGCGCAGTGGTAACCCTTTAGCGTCACAGGAAGAAGGCCTCCTGGGCTCGAATCTCGACTCGGGCGCCTTTCTGGATGGAGTTTGTATGTGCTCCCCGTGTTCTGAAAAGTGTGAGAGTGTGTGAGTGAATTTGGAGTTTGTATGTGCTCCCTGTGTTCTGAGAAGTGAGAGTGTGTGAGTGAATTTGGAGTTTGTGTGTGCTCCCCGTGTTCTGAGAAGTGTGAGAGTGTGTGAGTGAATTTGGAGTTTGTATGTGCTCCCCGTGTTCTGAGAAGTGTGAGAGTGTGTGAGTGAATTTGGAGTTTGTATGTGCTCCCCGTGTTCTGAGAAGTGAGAGTGTGTGAGTGAATTTGGAGTTTGTGTGTGCTCCCCATGTTCTGAGAAGTGTGAGAGTGTGTGAGTGAATTTGGAGTTTGTATGTGCTCCCCGTGTTCTGAGAAGTGAGAGTGTGTGAGTGAATTTTGAGTTTGTATGTGCTCCCCGTGTTCTGAGAAGTGAGAGTGTGTGAGTGAATTTGGAGTTTGTATGTGCTCCCCGTGTTCTGAGAAATGTGTGAGAGTGTGTGAGTGAATTTGGAGTTTGTATGTGCTCCCCGTGTTCTGAGAAATGTGTGAGAGTGTGTGAGTGAATTTGGAGTTTGTATGTGCTCCCCGTGTTCTGAGAAGTGAGAGTGTGTGAGTGAATTTGGAGTTTGTGTGTTCTCCCTCTGTTTTGCACAGGTTTCCTAGGATTTTCCGGTTTCCTGCCATACCTTAAAGAACACGAATATAAATGTAACTGTTGTTGGTCAAAACATCCCAGCGCTCAACATTTACCTGCAAATTGCTCGATCACACATCGCAGCAACTTCGCCCGCCGACTGGAAAGACTTGGCAGGACCCTCTGGAAAAAGAGTCTTAAGATATTAATGATGTTTTCCTGAGTAAACAATCGTAATAATCACATAATAAAAGCAACATCCACATCTGCTGTGCAAATTTCTAACAAACTAAACTATAAACGAAACTATTCTTTATTTGTTATTCCAGCTAAGGCCCACTGAGTTAAATAGCTCCTTTTCAAAGCGACCTGGCCACAAATGATAGCCCAAGGAAGTGGTTTATCATCATGTGGACATTTACAGCTTCAGCCAAATACTCTAAACGCTTGTTTCGAAATGTGGAGGGGAAAACCGGAGGACCTGAAGAAAAATCCACGCGACCATGGGGAGAACATGCAAACTCGAAATATACAGGAGTCAGGGACGGGATCGAAGCAGCAGCAGCAGCAAGTCTTTGTTAAATACTGTAACACTCAGTACTGGGTTGTTGTGTTACAGTGACAGAGCCCCATTGTTGAGAGGGAGTCCTTTCGCCAAACCGGCAGTGTTTGTGTCGCGATCCTGACCAGGGGGTAACGTTCAAATACCTGATGAAGGCCACTTGTGTTGTGGCCGAAACGTCGTGATTTTTGTTGTTTTATTTTTTACCTACGTGACTTTACCGAATAGAACCAAAGAGTAACGTTCAAATATCCATGCAGACGGGGTCATGAACCCACTTGCTGTACTACCATCTACTGGCCCACCTCGCATCTTCCAGTTTTGTTTTGGGAAGTTAACAAATCTGCGCGTGATCCACCAACCATTGCCTCCAAAGCCCCGGGTCATTCCAGTCTACCCAGCCACCCGGAAAATATTCAGTGAGAAATGAAGACCTGTCAGCAGCCATGTAGCCTGACCTTGTTTAAATGGGGGCACACACACACACACTGGGAGGGGGGGGGGGCACCGGACAAAGTCAACGTTAAACAAACGTTGGACTCGAGTTAAACGCCAATCAGGGTGAGTGGCGATGGGATCCGCCGAGCGTTCTCTGCTCTGCACGAGGAATCCGCTGCGGCGACGTCAATCGATGAACCGCGCCCGTCCGTGCGTCGTGTCCCCCACAGCGGCTATCGCTCAGCTGCACCGTCAGCTTTGGCCAGCTGTTCCTGCTGATCTTGCTGTTGTTACTGCCAATTGCTGCTGCTGATATTGCTGCTACCACACCTAGGACTGCTGCTGCTGTGGCTGCACTGCTGCTCTTGCTGCTGATGTAGCTACTGTTGCTGCAGATGCTGCTATGCGGGGTTGGCTGTGTGCGTTGAACGCGACTCGGGTTGTCTGCAGGCAGATGCTCCCAACTGAGCTGTGAATACACGCTGTTGTCACCTGTCCTCGGCTGCTTCATTAAAACCCCTTCAATTAGCCCCGCGCCGTCGCTCCCTCGGCACCGCAACCCTCCTTCATAACCCCTCTCTGCCTTCATTAGGGATAGAGCCCTCTCCACTCTCCACTCTCGCCCCGAGTCCACTATCCACTCTCGCTCCACTCCCAGTATTCGTCGCGTCTTCCCGACCACTTCAATTAACGCGGCAGCAGCAGCAGGAGGAGGGAGGGAGGGGAGACTTGATGAGTATTTTTAGCAGCGCCGCTGAGACAAACAGCAGGTTCCGTCTATATAAAGACGGAGACGGCCCCCCGGGGCCTCAACAAAGCCAACGGGCCTCGAGAGGGCGGCGAGACGACTCGCGGAGCGCGTGGAACAT